TGCCTCTGCTGTTTTGCCTCTGCTGCAACGCTTACCTCTACAGATGGACAGGAGGAGGTTATGTATGGTGAGAGACTACTGCTTCCCAGCTTTCGCCACCTAACGGTTTCCTAGCTGATCCCACGCGCGGGAGGGGAGCTAATTGGCTCAGGCCAGGGGTGTGTGTGTGCATACAAATGCCCTATATCCTATTATGCTCAATGGGTCGCCGCCATTCTTAACAGTGCCTGTGTTACTGCATCTATAGCTTTGCAATAAATATATAACCATTCCTGAGTGCGTGTACTTCGTTGTAAGCTGTGGGTTCTGACAAGATGAAGGAATATACAGGCGTCTAGCTTTATTTCTGTAAATAAGAAGTGAAGACAAATTATACAGTTTTGTTCAGAAGAAGGAACTACGAAACGACACAGGACATATTATTGTATTTGTCCATTACCTTCAAAAAGCATTTTTCTTTATTTTTTGCAGTACAGCATTACCTATCTTTGCATCTTTATCACAGTGCGTTCTCAAAAGTACGGCAATGGAAGGTCTGCACAGGTCTTTGGGCTGTTTCTGTGGCGTTACTATGGCCCCTTTCATTAACAAAGGGAGAAGAATGATTACAAAAGGGTGGGAAGGGAGACAAAGGCATTGAGCCATGATGTTGTTAGCCACTGTCGTCGGATCTAGTGTTGCTCAGAACTTAGTAAGGTAAAGGTAAAGGTTCCCTTGCTCGAAAGCCAGTCGAGTCCGACTCTAGGGTTGCGGTGTTCATCTCCATTTCAAAGCCGAAGAGCCAGCGCTGTCCGAAGACGTTTCCGTGGTCACGTGGCGGGCATGACTAAACACCAAGGCGCACGGAACGCTGTTATCTTCCCACCGAAGCGGTACCTATTTATCTACTTGCAATGTCTTACTTTCGAACTGCTAGGTTGGCAGGAGCTGGAACTAGAGACGGGAGCTCACTCCGTCATGCGGCACACTCGGGTCTCGAACTGCTGAACTACCACTAAGCGTCTTCCATGACACTGTTAGCCACTGTAGTCGGATCTCGTGTTGCTCAGAACTTAGTAAAACAATATTAAAGAGTATTCTCTCCGAACGGATTTTACATTTTTTCTGTATGAGTTGCTGTTGCAATGCTTCACCAGCAGAGGTCGCCTTCTGACTGTACTACAAACACCACCAGTCTATTTACAGCGCAGTCATTTTACTGAGTCATCGGCATCCAGGGCGAGCCCTGGCAAAGCATTCAGAATTGCCCTCCTCCACCTCATAAAACAGCACTTCTCTTATTACTTTATCTTAAAGCTGTAAGGAAAATCCATGCGCTTAAAATAAGGAATGACAATTTCGCAACGACACAGTGAGATCTAGAACCGACAACGGACAACTCGTGTCTAAAACCAGGGATTTCTTCATCAGACTCAATGGCAAGAGGCACAGAGGATGCATTCTGTCTCTCCGACTCTAGGCTTTGTGCCCAGTTGCCTGAAAGCTTCTGGAAAAGAGGAGATTCTTTTTTCCCCCTTTCAGACTGTGAGTACAGATGTAAAATTTCCGGAAATTTTGAAGCTTGGAAAAAAACCAGTTTTTTCCCCATTTTTTTTCCGGGGGGAAATGGAAATTTTTGGAAAAATTGAAAAAAAATGCTACATTAGCACTTCTTTTTTCTTTTCCAGATTGAAAGTAATTCTGTTACTTTAGGAACATAAAATATGACTATGGACATTTTTACCTGGCATGAAATGATCACAACTAGCATATTAAAAATATAGTGTATCCAAACAATTATTACAAAGAGAATACCCACCCAAATGCAAAAAACAAAACTGAAACCTTTTTCTTTTCTCGTGACAATAGCACCTCCTAAAGGAAGAAATTCATCTTGTTCTTGCATTGGAGAGTTCAGTTTGTAACCTAGGACTTGCTTGTCCCTCGGTGCACAGAAATTAGATCAATCTGATACCATACATATTTTTTAGAAATGATTTGGAAACTATTTGAACACCTTGTCTTAAAATATTTTATTCATCATGTTAAAATGTTCCATAATCATTTTTTTTTCTTTTCTCTTCTTTTTTCAATTTTTCCAATTTTTCGGAAAAAAACCAAAAAAGGCTTCGGGGAAAAAATGGGGGGGAAAGCCGTTTTTTTTCCGGGCCTTCACATCTCTAACTGTGAGTGTGCCATAAATGACTACGAGCACTGGCATAGGTGGGAGGGCACGCTGGCTACTCATTTTCTGTGGTCTAGTAACTTCTGGGCACTCATTTGAAGGTTTAGATTATATATTTTCTTATGCCGTTTGCTCCAGGTATATGTGATGACCGTAAGCTGTGTGCCCCTTTTATCCATGATTTACACATTCACACTATTTCATAAAAAATATGTGTATGAATGGGAACATTCTCAGATGCACATACCATAACATGAGAAGAGGATTTAAAACTATTGTTGTTGTTGTTCAGTCGCACAGTCGAGTCCGACTCTTCGCGACCCCATGGAACAGACCACGCCAGGCCCTCCTGTCTTCCGCCGTCCTCTGACGTTTGCTCAACTTCATGTTCATTGCATCTATAACCCTGTCTAACCATCTCATCCTTTGCCGTCCCCGTCTTCTTCGACCTTCAATCTTTCCCAGCATCAGGGTCTTCTCCAGGGAGTGCTCCCTTCTCATTGGGTGGCCAAAGTATTTGAGCTTCAGTTTCATTATCTGGCCTTCCAGGGAACAGTCAGGGTTGATTTCTTTTAGGATTGACTGATTTGACCGTGTGCTTTTTGCAACCAATGGACTTTTCAGGATGCAGAAGGTGGACTCCAGGTCTAAGGAGCCTCTAGGAAGGACCTTGTGGCACTCACAACCAGTGTTCCCTCTAAGCTGAGTTAGCGTGAGCTAGCTCACAGTTTTTTAGCCTCCAGCTCAGATTTTTGTCTTCGCTCAGGAAGGAGGGCTCCAGAGCAAACTAAATTTATGCAGCAGCCAAATCGCTCGCTCACCACTTTAATGCCAGTGGCTCACAAAGTAGAATTCTTGCTCACAAGACTCCACAGCTTACAGGGAGCATTGCTCACAACCTAAGAGAAGCCCGCTTTACCTCCCTGAGCCTGCTTGCGGGGAGGGCGGGGTATAAATAAAAATAATAAATATTTTTTTCTTATTTTCCCTTCAATGCTTGCCAAGATGTCATTTGTACTTTATGGACAAAGGCACAGGGAAACTGACCAGTTTCCTTCCCATTTCGTTATAGAATAGTTGGCAGCTAAAACAGGGGAAACAGGCTGTCCTCCACCCACAATCCTACCCCCTGCTTCTTGGACAGTATGAATCCTTCAAGATACCCTCCCAGGTGGAGGGTAGAGGTGGTGAAGGTGGAGGAGGGCTTAAGAGGTGACTCTGTCCACACGTTTTGTAGATCGTGCTATTCAGAAGTCCAGTGACGAGCACCCTTTAACAAGATTTTACTTAGAGGCTATCATTTGTTTATTATCAGCACCACAGTAAGCACCAGGAGAGAATTAAAGGCTGGTCTTCCAAGCCTGGGGTAAAGGTTTCACTTGCTCGAAAGCCAGTCGAATCCGACTCTAGGGTTGTGGTGCTCATCTCCGTTTCCAAGCCGAAGAGCCAGCGCTGTCCGAAGACGTTTCCGCGGTCATGTGGTCAGCATGACTAGACGCCGAGGCGCACGGAACGCTGTTACCTTTCCCACCGAAGCGGTACCTACTTATCTACTTGCAATTTCAAGCCTACGCTTACATAATCCAGTCTTCCGTGCTACCAGTGCTTACCTGTACACAAGCAATGCCGATTCCTACCGCTCCAATAATCTTCAGATGTTCTTGGATGAAGTTTTCCAGCTTCGTGATGCAGCCACCCTGGAAAAAGGAATTCAGTTATTTATTTGTTTGTTTGTATTTTAACACACGTTTTTGTGCAGTCTGATAGCCAGATCATCCAAGACATGTACATATACAAAGCAAAAAGATGGGGGTGGGGACTCCTACTGGTGACGAGAGAATTGGCTCCTGCAAAAATTTCATCAGCCTAAACGTCTATCACAGCATTCCAACACATGTGGCCTAAACAGAGACCATCTATGCAATACAACCCAGGTTAGCAGCTCCAGGCTATGTTGCATCAGCAACCTTCTTTTAACTTAGAGTAGATGAAAGATTGAAGGTCAAAGAAGACGGGGACGGCAAAGGATGAGATGGTTAGACAGTGTCATCGATGCAACGAACATGAAATTGAGCCAACTTCAGAGGACGGCAGAAGACAGGAGGGCCTGGCGGGAGCTGGTCCATGGGGTCGCAAAGAGTCGGACTCGACTGTGCGACTGAACAACAACAACAACAAAAAAGATGAAGCGAGTACCAAGCTGGAAAAGGTCAGTGACTGCCAGTCTCCGTCGCAGAAAAGTCTTTGGGGCTGGCTTGGGATCCATGCATTTTTAAATAGATAGTCCAATACAGGAAGGCATACTGTCCAGATCATGATATTTATACCCTGCCCTTCCTCCAAGGAGAAGGAGGAGGAGATTGGATTTATCCCCCACCCTTCACTACCCAAAGGAGTCTCAGAGCGGCTTACAAACTCCTTTCCCGTCCCCTCCCCACAACAGACACCCTGTGAGGTAGGTGGGGCTGAGAGAGCTCTTGACGGAAACTGCTCTTTTTCAAGAACGGCTGTGCCAGAACTACGGCTTGTCCAAGGTCATCCAGCAGGTGCAAGTGGAGGAGTGGGGAATCAAACCCAGTTCTCCCAGATTAGAGTCCACGCACTTAACCACTACACCAAACTAGCAGCCTAAGGCTGCATCCGCACATCATTGGATATTGTGCTACTACTGTGTTATGGTGACCCTTCGGATTGGGATTATCCCGTGCAGACAAGCCAATCCGCTTGCAGATTACTGCTATCTAACCATGCGTTGGATGCAGCCCAGAATGGAGCACATAGACTCTCCCCCGGTCTCTCCCCCCCCCATTTTAAACTCACAATGACCCACAGATGAAGGTTAGGTTGAGACACAGTAACTGGCCCAAGGACACCCAGTGAACTATACCAATCGAAATCTCTCTCTCCGTGCTCTGGCTGTACCCCGGGAAGGAAACCCAAGGACGGATTTCTCATGGTTTTAAAGTCCAAGCCATGTGCCAGTACTGTGTAATGAACATGAGAGCTAGGGAGAAGAAATTCAAATCCCTGCTCAGCCGTAAAGCACACTGTATAACCCCAGCCCGGTTTTCACTATAAACTACCTCACAGAATAATTCTGTTGGGGGTGGGAAGAGTGGGTGAAACACTGTAAGTACCTCTCTGGGCCTCCTGAAGGAAGGACCAAAAAAAGTTGGTATTTTTCAGGTTCAGGGATGTTGACATTTGTCATTAGACAATGCCCATGCCCTGAGGCATGGGGTTTAGTCCGTCTCAGTCTGATCAAAACAAGCTTAGTGGCTAAAGTTATTCATGCTCCTCATATTCTTTAATCCCTCACTGAGCCTGCTGATAATAGTTTCTCCATCATCAGCAGCATTGGCGTCGCCGTCTTCGTCGTCATCATCTGGCAGGGCAGTCTGACCCAAAGCTTTGGAGAGCTCTTGGGCTAAATGCCCTACCCGTCTGTAGCCTCTTTTTGAAAATTAGCAGATTAATCATTTTGGAAGAATCTTTTTATTCGTATAGGTAAAGGTGAAGGGTTTCCCTCGCTCAAAAGCCAGTCGAATCTGACTCTAGGGTTGCGGCGCTCATCTCCGTTTCCAAGCCGAAGAGCCAGGGGTGTCCGAAGACGTTTCCGTGGTCATGTGGCCGGCATGACTAGACACCGGGGCACACAGAACGCTGAGACCTTCCCACCAAAGCGGTACCTATTTATCGACTTGCCGTTTCTTGCTTTCGGACTGCTAGGTTGGCAAGAGCTGGGGCCAGAGATGGGAGTTCATATAGTCATTGTTCATATAGTCACTTCCCAAATCTTGTCAGTTACCTCCCCTGGCACCAACCAGGATTCTGAGGAGTTAGGAAACGAGATGAGCTACAGGATAATTCAGACTAGACAGAACACATGAAAATATTTTATGCTGGCATGGGATGAATCTATGGGAAGCTCTAGAAGAAAACAATACTTAGCATTTTAGCACTTCAGACGTTCTCTGAGTGTTTCACATACATTATCTCCGCCATGTGTACAAGCCCCAACCCATTTGTATTGTATCATTATACTGCAGAAGAAGACCTGAGTCTAAGAGAATAGTGACTTGCCTCCAACTGTCTACGGAGTTCGCAACAGAAACCTAGAATTTGGTTAGCAACTCAGCCTTTCGGTCACGACACTGCAGTAGCTCTCTAGAACACGGCACCAATCCTCACACCCCTCCAGAAGCGACATTCCCAAAACCTGAGCCGTTCATGAGCACACGAATCAGCCTCTCTCAAGGGGTTTGCTTGTTTGAACACAGATGGATTTGGCATTTTGTTCTCTGTAACTGCACAACTACCTTCACACAAACACACTTTTTCTTCCGCAGCGAGACAAAGCAGGGCCATACCCAGCCGGGGGGCACACAGGGTCACGCCCCCTAATGAACCCCCACCCCAGCAGCGCCCCCCACCCCAGACTTTACCATTCTTCAAGTTTTAATCTTGAAGCAGAAGGAAAAAGGGGGGGGCCTCAATCCAAAATGTAGCTGCGATCTAAGAGGGTCAAGCTAACATATAAATGATATAAAAAATACAAATATTTATTCGGGTGTACACATAACTGAAACATACATACAGTTAAAAGAAATAGTCTAAGTATCAGACTCTTAAAGCTTTATATCATCAAAGCTGATAGTTATACCTATCCAACTGATGGGTAAAACTTATGACCTAAGGACCATACGCGTTTCGGCCCCTTTGGGCCTTCCTCAGTGGTCAATATTCTTTATTTTACAATGACTATTACAAGGTGGACTACTACCTTGATGGAAGAAGAAGAAGAGATTAGATTTATACCCCGCCCTTCACTTGGAGTCTCAGAGCGGCTTACAAACTCCTTTCCCCTCCCCTCCCCTCCCCACAACAGACACCCTGTGATGTGGGTGGGGCTGAGAGAACTCTGACACAAACTGCTCTTTCAGGAACAGCTGTGCCAGAGCTTGTGACTGACCCAAGGTCACATCAGCAGGTGCAAGTGGAGGAGTGGGGAATCAAACTCGGTTCTCCCGGATTAGAGTCCACACTTAACCACTACACCAAACATCCTGACGAATGGGTATTTGCTACCAGAATCATTTCAAGAATTTGCACAGCTACTATCCATGGCCCACTATACAAACTTGTAGCAAATGCAAAGTATATAAGAAAGCAACATCTGGTCATATATATATATACAAAAATTCTTTATGCATGTATTTCTGGATGTGTGTCATTGTAAAATAAAGAATATTGACCACTCAGGAAGGCCCCAAAGGGGCCAAACGCGTATGGTCCTTAGATCATAAGTTTTACCCATCAACTGGATATGTATAACAATCAGCTTTGATGATATGAAACTTTAAGAGCCTGATATTTAGACTATTTCTTTTAACCGTATGTATGTTTATGTGTACACCCTAATAAATATTTGTATTTTTAATATCATTTATATGTTAGCTTCATCTTGAAGCATTCAGTATTGAAGTGGGCCAGTATTGCTTAAGCCAGTTTGGTGTAGTGGTGAAGTGTGCGGACTCTAATCTGGGAGAACCGGGTTTGATTCCCCACTCCTCCACTTGCACGTGGCTGGATGACCTTAGGCAAGCCGTAGTTCTGACAAGAACTGTCCTTGAAAAAGAGCAGTTTCTGTCAGAGCTCTCTCAGCCCCGCCTACCTCACAGGCAATGTTCCCTCTAAGCTGAGTGAGTGTGAGCCAGCTCACCGTTTTTTAGCCTCCGGCTCACACATTTTCGTCTTCACTCAGGAAGGATGGCTCCAGAGCAGACTCATTTATGCAGTAGCCAAACTGCTCGCTCACAACTTTAACTTTAATGCCAGTAGCTCACAAAGGACAATTTTTGCTCACAAGACTCCACAGCTTAGAGGGAACATCATGTGACCTGGTTGGGGGGGGGAAGGGAGATTTTTTTTTTTGTCTGTTCATGTTTTGCTTTCGTTTGCACATTTGTGTCTGACAGATTCACATTCAGCGTCCCTCTTATTCCAGAGGAGTCCCTGTCCATTAAAGCGAGTACCAAGAAACGCCAAGCCCAGCAGAGTCTATTTTTAAAATCTAATTTCATTCCAAACTGAATTCCTCAGTGGTGACAGGGAGGAATTTCACATTACACTTTTTAACCCGTTTTGAAGCTGTTTTTGATCCGTCATGGAGTAAACCGGTATAGGGCTGCCATTTCTCACATGGCTTTCCTCTTCCGGTAAAGAGCTGGATCTGAAGCGGTTTGCCATTTTAGACTGCACCGCTTTTTCCCGCTTTTCCCCCGCCATTTTTCGCCCGCGCGGGCGATCTCCGGCTTTTTAAAAAAATGTTTGCTTTATAGCGCTATAGCACTATAACAAAATACTCCAGGCATTCCAATGGCGTTGATATACTGCTGTTCTGTTATAGCGCTATCTCTCCTTATATATAATTGAGTAAGAACATTCTATATGAACATTCTAAATTTGGCCCCTTTAGTGTATGGACGCTTGAACTGTCAGTCAGAAGACGCTGGCTGGGTTGACTGGCTGCTTTGTGCAGTCCCGCCCAGCGTTTCAAGGTCTTTTGCATATGGAAGCTGATTGGACTTCACTGCATTCCACACCTCAAACTCACCCCCCTCCCCGCAAGGCAGTTGGAATGTCAGTTGCATATGGAACCTTCAAGGTCTTTTGCATATGGAAGCTGATTGGACTT